GAAGTTACTGAAGCTCTCCTGTTCTAACTTTTACTTAGTGGAAGTTGGATTTATTGTGCTAAGCTGTAGTATAGGGCTTGGTTGTTTCATTTTCATCATCATAACATACATGGAGATCTTTTCTACAGTGCGCAAAATCCCTTCTGTCCTTGGTAAGAAAAAGGCCCTTTCCACTTGCCTCCCCCACCTCACTGTTGTCTCTGTGTTTCTGTTCACTGGAGTGTTTGCTTATACAAGGCCTCCCAGTGAAGCTTCTTCTTATCTAGATATAGCTTTTGCTGTGATGTACTCTATAATTCCTGCCACATTGAATCCATTCATCTATAGCATGAGAAACAAAGAGATCAAGGCTGCCTTGTGGAATCTCTTAGATGTAGGGCATTCTTCTAAAATCATATCCAGAATTTGATAAGAAAGCATGTGCATGCTTCACAATCACCTTCTGTATGTGAATTTCACCCTATAATCTGTTGTAGAACATCTGTTTTGCATGAAGGCAGCTCCTGGTTTAAAACTTGGCATCTCCAAGCAGGGCAAGGAATGATGCCCTGTCTGAAGGCCCAGAGAGCCACTGGAAGTCAGTGCATAGAATACAGAGCAAAATGGAACAATGGATTAATGCATATCAGGCAACTTTGACACAAATTCCCCCTAATACGTCAACTTTATTCTGCATGTCTCCATAATTTGATCACCTGTGTCTTGTGATGGAGCCATATATCCCATGAATGACCCTATGAAGCCTCAGTCCTCCAACAGGGGACTGAGAGGGATATATGCCCAATGCCTATGCTAAATCCTACCAACTTCTGAAATCAATAAAGTTGTGGCCATTTTTTTAAAAATCCCAGAACATTGTCTTGTTCACTTTGTTCACCTTCTTAAATTGGGCCTTGTTCCCAGAGGTGGGGGGAAAGACCACATCTCCTCCACACCATACATTTTAAAGCACTCTTATCACCTTTAAAGATCCATGGCTTTCCTCCACCGAATCCTGGAAAGTCTGATTTACTGAACAATATGAGAGCTGTTAGAAGACATCAACAAACCAAGTATCTGGGAACTTTCTCTTTATTGCATCCTCTCTCTTTACTGAATACAAAAGCACCTCCATTTAGGAGGCTATAGTCAAAGTTATTTTGGAGTCAAGAGAATGATATGGGAAGTGGCAATTCAAAGGTAGGTTTCAGTGCTATCCTCTTATAATAGGAATTATATTACTACATCTTCTTGAACCAGTTAGAATTTTGGCAGCCAGGTTCTGCACTAACTGAAGCTCCTAGGTCATATTCATGGGCAGTCCTATGTATAATCCAATACATGATTCAGCCAGGAGGTTGTCGTCATTTTTCATGCATTGAGGAACATATTGTAGATGTTATTTCTTTTCATCTGCAACTAACATGGAAGAAGAAACATTAATTTGAGGAGTTTAAACAATGTTTTCAGATCAGCAATGCTGCACTCTTGGGAACAAGATCCCAAAATGGCAAAAGAAAACTCAGAATAGCTCACTTTCCCATGTGTGCTGTCACTATTAATTGATGCAACATTTAATGAATTTTACTGTAATATAGGCAGTCTTCATAAAGGCAACAAATCAATTACATATTCTGTACTAAGGGTCACAACAAGGGTAATGTGATTGGCTGCGAAAATGCAGGGACTCTCAAATCATCAAAAATTCAACCCTAAAGCAGCTGGAGGGGAAACTGATTCTTATAAATAAAGGTACTTGCGTAGTTTTCTATTATTTTGATGTAATCTAGAGGTGCTGGTCACCTTTTCATTTCCAGTCATCTATTGAGTTTCAAGTGGTCTCATGTATACTTGAAACATCAGAGTAATGATGCAGTCATCCTTAAACCATTCTACTTTACCAAATGTCTAACTTGTTAATTGTTTCCAATTTTTAAACCTTATTTAATGTAGCCTAGCCCACAAATTTATTTGGGACTGGATCTAGGTGAGGCAAGACCTTATTGACCATGTTTATAGTATTATTGTGCCATTCCTTTTTAGGGAATCATATGGGGGGAGGAGTTGCTATTTATCAAACAATGATTTTAAATCCTTGCTGGACAGTCTCTTCTTGAACAATTATTGAGAGCAATAAAAATGCCTGTCTGCATCTCTAAATATATTATTGGATATATTGTCACTTCCTGGAAGCATTTTAAATGACCTTTTATTTTTGTGCTGCTGACATTACTGGCAGCTCCAAAGAGTTTTAAAATGTTTTTGAAATAAAGAAGGAAGTATTCAGACAACTTCATAAGTACTTTTGTCAAAGCATGCATTGATAGGCTGCAGTAATCCTCATAGCTATGTTCCAATCTGCATATGGGTCTGCAAGGGGTAGAAGGGAATAGCTCCCTACAAAATGCAGTTTGATTTGGAATGTTGCATCAGACTCAGAGTGTGTTTGTGTCTGATTAAGAGAGAGGCAGCTATAATGGGGGCGGGCGGGCGATGACTTCTGATTCCAATCAGCTGTTTTGGATTCATGGGAGCAATTTCCCAGAATGCCAACACACATTTCCAATTAATGTCCTGCACATACAACTTTTAAAAACCAATTTAGAAATAGAACCGCTGCACAATATTCTGGGAAGTACCAAGAAAATATGAAAACTTATGAAACCAAAAACATCACCTACCCACAAAGAAACATACCTGTTTTTAAAGAGCCAAGGTACTCATAAGCTTTTGAACTATGAATCTAATGATACCAATGGTGATCAATTTGTGATGCTCTTTCTTTGTTTTCATCACTCCATGTTTCTCCCCCTACATTGCTCTTGGGCTGTTATTCTTTCATCACTTTTTGTTGCTTCTGTGAACAGAAATCCAGATTAGTCTAGAACCATCACCCAGCCAGTCAGGGTTGATGTGAGAACTTTTGATGGCTTCTATTTTGACTGGTATTTTGATGAGGACAACCCTGTGTGAATGCTACAGAAACATTCCAAGGATGACTTCCACCAAATCCACAATGAACTAAACATGCTATGGATAAGGGTGTGAGTAGGAGCTTCATCTCCCCCCACACTACCCTTCAGTTCCTTCTATGCAGGGATAAGCTGAAATAGTACGGCATCCTTTTTTACTGAAAACATTTGACAGCTATGAGTCAGTGCCAATCACTGGGGTGTGTGTGGGTGTGTGGGTGTGGGTGTGTGTGTGTGTGTGAGAGAGAGAGAGAGAGATATGGGGAGGGAGTGAAGGTAGGAGAAGGAGAGAGAATGGATGGATGGAAGTCCTGTCATGGCTATGCAGTTGAGGTATGTATTTGAATTTACTCCCCAATAGGAGCTTTCTTTTGGGGTAAAGGAACTAGTGACCATCTAGTGTCACCTTTGTATAATGCACTTAAAATGTTGTATTTGCAGCTGTAGAGTCTCAGAAATATTCAGAAAACCAACAGAAATGAAAATTTCAATCATATATTCAATATTATTTTGTATTACAAAAGAATATTAATGTTTATTGGGTGGGAACTGCGCTTCTTAATACATTTAATAATAATAAATGAATGAGATATAGCTTACAAATGGAATGTTTTGGTGTCATCACTATGCAAAACTGTTTCACAACTGTTCATCAAAGCAAAATCTGATGGAGTTTATAGTGAAATATGAATAAACCTGTTTTAAATAACCAGTTAATACTGCCATATTAATACCTCCCAGTTTCTTCCTTCTACAGAATGAATGCAAGTACTGAAGACAAAATGAGCAATCTTACATCCATTTCCATGTTTCTGCTGAAGGAATTCTCAGACGTACGAGAACTACAGATCTTACATTTCTTTCTGTTCTTAGGATTCTACTTGACAACCCTGGCTGGGAATCTTCTCATCATTGTTGCAGTAGCCTTTGACCATCATCTGCACAAACCTATGTATTTTTTCCTAACAAACTTGGCATTGATGGATGTTGGCTCCGTTTCTGCCATCATACCCAAATCTATGGCCAACTCCATCTTGAACAGCAGATCAATTTCATATTCTGGGTGCGTTGCTCAAGTTTTCTTCTACTTCTTCTTTACATTCGCTGATCTTTCCCTTCTAACAGTAATGGCACACGATCGCTATGTTGCCATCTGCAACCCATTACAATATGAGATGATTATGTACAAAGGAGCTTGTATTCAAATGGTTGTCACTGTGTGGATTCTGAGTCTTCTTTATTCCATGCTACACACTTGCAGCACTTTTGCAATCACCTTCTCTTCTAATGTTGTCAATCAGTTCTTCTGTGAAGTCCCAAAGTTACTAAAGCTCTCCTACTCTAACATTTACCTAGTTGAAGCTGGGCTGATTGTGCTTGGGTGTTTTATAGCACTAGGATGCTTAATTTTCATCCTCATAACGTACATGCAGGTATTTGCTGTAGTGCGCAGAATACCTTCGGTGCATGGTAAGAAAAAAGCCCTCTCCACTTGCCTTCCCCACCTCACTGTGGTATCTTTGTTTCTGGGCACGGCAATCTTTGCCTACGCAAAGCCTCCCAGTAATGTTTCTTCCTTTCTTGATGTAGCTTTTGCTGTGATCTATACCATAATTTCTCCCATGTTGAATCTATTCATCTACAGCATGAGAAACAAAGAAATCAAGACTGCTTTGTGGAAACTCTTAGATTTCAGGCATTCTGCTAAAAGTACATTTAGAGTTCTATAGAAATTGCTTTGTTTCCTCTTCTGCATATGTGTGGTTAACACTGGAATTTTTCCCACTTTGCAATGTAAGCATTTTAATATTCATTAGACATTGCTCTGTAATTCCTTCTCCTTATTATCCATGTCTTTTTAGCCTTGATTGTTCCTCTTCATTCCCATTGTAAATTGTTTATTTCATTTACAAGAGATTCAAATATAATAAAAGACAACAACCATTTCAGCAACAACATCAAAATCTAAAGCTTTGTAAGAAAGTTTTTAAGCAAACCAGGTTTCACCTCATCATAATTATGTTTTTATTGTATTGTTGACCTTGCAAAATCTCAAAGCTCAGTCAGTAGAGCATGAGACTCTGAATCTCAAGGTTGTGGATTTGAACCCATTTTGGACAAAAGATTCCTGCATTTCAGGGGGTTGGACTAGATGACTCTTGTGGTTCCTCCCAACTCTACAAATCTATGATCTATGACTCTATCTATACTGTACCATTTGTAATAGATTGTAATAGCTTGTATGCCACTACATTCTAAAATTCTTATGTTTGCTTATTAGGACTTCACCCTTGCTCACTTCATTCAACTTGCCCTCTGTTATTTCCTCACATTCGTCCTCTAGAGATTCCTCTTTTCAACCCATGTAACTTCTCTGCTCAGTTTTCACCTGCCTAGCCCCATTTCTGAAGCTGCCTGGATGTTATATTCTGTAGTATCACTTTGCAACCCTATTTTCACCTTCACCCCAATGTCCATGCCTTGCGATCCATTGCACACAAACTACTGCCATTGTAAACTCCTGCATCTTCCTCCTTGCACTCATTGAAACTACTAAGCACACATCCTGCCCAATAATGCAGCCACCATTCCCTCCTTTTTGTCATACCCTTCCAGGCCCCTTATGCCATCATCTTTCTACTTTTTTCTTGTAACTCCATTTGCAACCCAATTTTCACCATCACTGTCTTTCCCCTCCTCCCTACTTACTTTTCACAACCCCTCCACTTCACAAACACACCCATTTCTATGCCCCTTCTTCTCTGTTTTCTGTGCACACACCCCTTTAATCTTTTTAAAAACAAAAAACAAAAAGTCCCTCCCTTTTCTATGTAATCTTTGCTCACTGAGTTTTTCTTCTCACTTTCCTCTAGCTCTCCTTTATTCCACTCTTTTCCTCTCAGTTCCCTCCCTTTCTGCCTCCCACAATCACTATGTGACACACTCTATGTGTATCTCTCTCTCTCTCTCTCTCTCTCTCACACACACACACACACACACCCCTCATACCACATACTGAATACATGTACACACATTAATACATAATACAAAGAGAGAGGTTTCAGAATGAGACAGGATTGAATGTGGTAAAGAAAGTGAAATACTTGGGGATTAATATGACAGCCAAAAATGGGAACTTATTTAAAGATAATTACGAAAAATGTTGGACGAAAGTGGAAAAAGATTTAGAAATTTGGTCAAATTTGAAACTCTCGTTGCTGGGCCGTATTGCTGTGATAAAGATGAATGTATTGCCTAGAATGTTGTTTTTGTTTCAGACATTACAAATTGTAGATAAGATGGACTGTTTCAAGAAGTGGCAGAGAGATATTTCTAGATTTGTCTGGCAGGGCAAGAAACCCAGAATAAAATTTAAGATATTAACTGACGCCAAGGAAAGAGGTGGATTTGCCCTGCCAGACCTTAAACTTTATTATGAATCAGCAGCTTTTTGCTGGCTGAAAGAATGGCTACTTCTTGAAAACACAGACATTTTGGATTTAGAAGGTTTTAACAATGTATTTGGATGGCATGCATATTTATGGTATGATAAGGTCAAAGCACACAAAGCATTCAAAAATCATATTGTTAGGAAAGCATTGTTTAATGTCTGGATAAGATACAAAGACTTATTGGAAAATAAAACCCCAAGGTGGCTGTCACCAATGGAAGCAAAAGCTCTGAAAAGGCTCAATATGGAGGCCAAATGGCCGACATATTGGGAAATTTTGGAGCAAGAAGGAGATAAATTGAGACTGCAGAGTTTTGAAAAATTAAAAAATAAAGTGAGAGATTGGCTCCACTACTATCAGATAATGGAGGCATATAACTTGGATAAGAAAATAGGCTTCCAAGTGGAAAAGTCAAAATTAGAAACAGAATTGTTAGAACCCAAAACTAAAAATTTGTCAAGAATGTATAACTTGCTGTTGAAATGGAATACTCAGGATGAAACGGTGAAATCTGCTATGATTAAATGGGCACAAGATGTTGGACATAACATTATGTTCGCTGACTGGGAACAGTTATGGACCACAGGTATGAAGTTTACGGCATGTAATGCCTTAAGAGAGAATATTATGAAAATGATATACAGGTGGTACATGACCCCAGTCAAGCTTGCAAAAATCTATCACTTGCCCGATAATAAATGCTGGAAATGTAAAGAAACTGAAGGTACATTCTTTCACCTTTGGTGGACGTGCCCAAAGATTAAGGCTTTCTGGGAAATGATATATAATGAACTGAAAAAGGTATTTAAATATACCTTTCTGAAGAAACCAGAGGCCTTTCTCTTGGGCATTGTCGGCCAACTGGTGCCAAAGAAGGACAGAACCTTTTTCATGTATGCTACAACAGCAGCAAGAATACTTATCGCAAAGTATTGGAAGACACAAGATCTACCCACTTTGGAAGAATGGCAGATGAAGGTGATTGACTACATGGAATTGGCGGAAATGACTGGCAGAATCCGAGACCAGGGAGAAGAGTCGGTGAAAGAAGACTGGAAAAATTTAAGGACTATTTACAGAAATATTGTAAAATTAAGGAACTTTAGAAGGATGTTGGATAGAAATTAAGAGGTTTTTAGCTGTAATGCTTTAAGAGACATGAAAAAAAAGGTTAACAATTGGGTAAAAGATTAATGGTAAGGACTTGCTGAACCAACAAACTGAATTGGAATACAAAGAAGGGAGGTATGAGGAGGTCTGGGGAAATAAGAGTAAGGAAGATAGGTTATGGAACATTATTGTGTTTTTAACTGTTTTATTTTGTATGTTTTTCTTACTTTTTACTTTTTGCTGTAATTTATACTTTTTTCTTTGTTTTCTGTATTTTTGTGAAACTTTAATAAATATCATTTAAAAAAAAAAAAATTTCGTATTCTGGGTGTGTGATTCAAGTTTTGTTCTTCGTCTTCTTTATCGGGTCAGACCTTTCCCTTCTAACAGTAATGGGGCATGATTGCTTTGTTGCCATCTGCAACCCGTTACAATATGAGACAAAAATGCCCAAAGCAGCTTGTATTTAGATAACTATTGTGTGGATTGCAAGTCTTCTTTATGCCATGCTACACACTTGTGGCACATTTGCAAACACCTTCTGTTCAAATGATGTCCATCAGTTCTTCTGTGACGTTCCAACATTACTGAAGCTCTCCTACTCTAACATTTACCTAGTTGAAGGAGGGTTTATTTTGCTAGGGTGTTTTATAGGAATAGGATGCTTAATTTTCATCATAACATACATGCAGATGTTTGCTGCAGTGCACAGAATACCTTCGGTTCATAGTAAGAAAAAAGATCCATGGCTTTCCTCCACAGAATCCTGGAAAGTCTGATTTGCAGAACAATATGAGAGCTGTTAGGAAATTTTCTCTTAGCATATCCTCTCTCTTTACTGCATACAAAATGCATCTTCATTTAGGTAGCACTTGGCAAAAGGTTGTAATAAAAAAAAAATTGGGTTAGAGAGAATGGTGTGGGAAGTAGCAATTCAAAGGTAGGTTTCAGTGCCATCCTATTACAATTGGAATAATATTACTACATCTGGTTGTATTAGGTAGAATTCTGGTAGCCAAGTTCTGCACTAACTGAGGCTCCTAGGCCATAATTGTGGGCAGTCCTATGTATAATCCAATGCAGTTATTCAACCAGGAGGTTACCAGAACATGGATTGCTATGAAAGTCTATCCCTATCCTGAAATGGCAACAATATTTAAATATTATTAAATAATTCTGATGAAATGCTAGTCATAGTTTCACCACAAGTGTCATCATTTTTCATACCTTGAGGAACATATTTTAGATGTTATTTCTTTCCTTCTTCCACAAATGTGGAAGAAGCAACATTAATTTGAGGAGTTTAAGCAATGTTTTAAGATCAGCTGTGCTGCACTCTTGGGAACAAGATCCCAAGAGGGCAAAAGAAACTCAGAATAACTCACTTTCCCATGTGTGCTGTCACTATTAGATGATGCAACATTTAGTGAATTTTACTGTAACACAGGCAGTCTTCATAAAGGCAACAAATCAGTTACATATTCTATACTAAGGGCCACAGCAAGGGTAATGTGGTTGGCTGGGAAAATGCAGGGACTCTCAAATCATTAGAAAATTGAACCTAAAGCAGATGAAGGGGAAACTTATTCTAATAAATAAAGGTACGTCAAAATGATTTACTGAGTGGAGTAGTTTTCTATTATTTTGATGTAATCTAGAGGTGCTGGTCACTTTTTTCATTTCCAGTCATCAATCGAGTTTCATGTGGTCTCATGTATACTTGATACATCAGAGTAATGATGCAGCCATCCTTAAACCGTTCTGCTTTTCCAAATGTCTTACTTGTTAATTGTTTCAAAATTTTAAAAGCTTATTTAATGTAGCCTAGCCCTCAAATTTATTTGGGACTGGATCTAGGTGAGGCAAGAACTTACTGAGCATGCTTACAGTATTACTGTGCTGTTCCTTCTTGGGGAATCGTATGTGGGAGGAGGTTTCTATTCATCAAGCAGTTCTTTATAATCCTTTCTGGATAGTCTCTTCTTGAGCAATTATTGGGAGCAAAAAAAATATTGCTGGCTGCATCTCTATATACATGATTGGATGTATTGTCACTTCCAGGAAGCATTTAAATGACCTTTTATTGATGTGTTGCTGACTTTACTGGCAGCCCCAAGGAATTTAAAAATGTTTCTGAAAGAAAGAAGGAAGTCTTCAGACCACTTCTTAAGTACTGTTGTCAAACCATGCATTGATTGGCTCACTAATTTGTGCATTAATCCTCATAGTTAGAGCCAGTGTGGTGTAGTGGTTAAGAGTGGTAGATTCGTAATCTGGGAAACCGGGTTCACATCTCCACTCCTCCACATACAGCTGCTGGGTGACCTTAGGCTAGTCACACTTCTCTGAAGTCTCTCAGCCTCACTCACCTCACAGAGTGTTTGTTGTGGGGAAGGAAGGGAAAGGAGAATGTTAGCCGCTTTGAGACTCCTTCGGGTAGTGATAAAGCGGGATATCAAATCCAAACTCCTCCTCCTCCTCCTCCTCCTCCTCCTCCTCCTCCTCCTCCTCCTCTTCTTCTTCTTCTTCTTCTTCCAGTCTGCATATGGGTCTGCAAG